GTTTTAGAAACGTTTGTGTTGATATCAAGACAATCCATAATCCTGTTCCCTGAACTACAACGCAGCTCCTTCACACTCGTTCTAAATGGAGGTTTTACAAACATTTACATTCCCTTAAGGTTATAATGACTCTCTTTTTAAACAAATTTTAACTGAATATTTGGGGGTAATATTTTTATGAGGTTTATACATGATTTGTAAAATATTATATTCAACCAAATAATAAAATTGTAATGATTTAAACTGATGAAATAATATATTTGTTGGGTGACCATAGCACTTCCTACTAATAATTCTTATAGCTCTTTTTTGTAAAATAAAAATAGGATTTGTAATTGTTTGCATGCTTTTCCCCAAACTTCATTCGTTACAATAGATTAAATGTGGAACAATCATTACATTATACAATGTATATAAAGCTTTGTCATTCAAATACTATTTTACTTTATACAGTAATGCAACTGATTTTGCTATGATTTGTGTCCCTTTAACTAAATATCATTTTGGGACAGTTGGCAACCCAACGTGAGGCGTTGCATTTTGTAGTAAGACGAGTAGAAACTCACAGCGGTGGCATCGCTCTGTTACAGATCATTTGAAGAGGTAGATCTTCATTCAGTTCAGTCTCTGACATATCACCAGCGACAGGTTATCTCCCAAAGCTCCACGTCGCTGCATGTATGAAAACCAGTGCCTGTTTCAACGTTGTGGATTTGTTGACATGTCCAGTCGTCAGTTTTACCAGAGGGATGGTGGAGGAAGGAACACCTGGTTAGCCCCCCCCCTCTCTAACAAGCTGTCATGGGAACTAATGAGCTGCCTGATTATCATCCCCAGGGAGGATGTAAAATCTCCGTTTTCTATTTTTACCACAGTGGACAGAAACGTGCTGATTGTAACTCACAAGGTAATTGTGAGACATGCCCAGGATCCTCCAGAACTTGATTTGAGGAGTTTTGATGCATGAATTGCTCATGATGAAAATATCTGATTGTTTCACAACTTCTCAACATGCAGTGATGTTTTTACTAATGAGCATTTCCTGTATGGATACTTTAAATTTTAAAATGCACGATCTGAGACTGTACCTGCCACCAGCCCCCTCCAGCCCCCACCCCCCAGTGCCACATCATCAGCAATCATGCTCGGAGCTCACAGCAGCAGCCCGCCCACAATAGAGGTCTAATCTGAAAGTGATTAGCACTGACAAATTCAGGGGAACTGTAATGTGCGGCATAAGCAAGGCTGTGTTTGTTTAGCCTCTGAACAGAGCTCAGGGCAAACATGAAGGTTTCTCCAAATAACGGATGGCATGCACTGTAAACTGACTAATTCCCGCCGGATCTCCGTCAGCGTCAGAGGTTTGTGTGTGGTCATGACTCCAGTGGACCGGCAGACCCAACCTGTATACATCGATATCTTCGTGGCGAATGAGGATGAGTCCTCAGATTCTTGCACTCGTCCTTTAAACGCCTATTTTACAGTCGTATTGTCTTTTTATCTCAAAACACATGAGACTGTGATTTTATGTGATTGACTAACACAAAGTTGCACATAATAACGTAGTGAAGGGAAAATTATTCATGTTGTTTTAAAATTTCTCTACTAATAACAATCTGAAAAGTGTGGTGTGCCCTTATATTCCCCCCACACTTTGACCTTTGTGCTGTTGTGTAGCAGAATTAAACGGATGTGCCTTTTTATAAGTTGCAACAAACTTCCAGGGAGCAGTTTCTGAACGTTCACACTCGTCTGTTTGTGGATGGCAGCAGACACTTTTTTAAAAGTGTGGCTTCCATCCAGTAAAACCAAAAACAATCAAAGAAATACTTGAGTTTAAAGGTGGATGTTTGAAAACTTGATCAATCCCGTTGATCTCCAAGTGTCAGAGCAACCCTGTGGTGTCTCGTCTTCGGCGTGCTGGATATTTGACACGATGTGTTGCACACGAGGCGAGCAGTGAAGTCCATGCGCACAGATGAACAGTCCTGCAGTCATGCACTGCCTCTGCGCACCCTCTCAAACATACAGCGTGTGTTATAACACGGGCGTCCTGTCAGACAGGCTGTGTGCCTGTTACCCTTTAGAGTTGTTGCCAGGCAAAAGGGTTTAAAGATAGCATTTTGTTATTCCTTCTTGCTTAGAAAGAAAGCACACAGTATGTTGTATAAATGTTTTTACTCCCACTGAAACTGTAATATTTATTCTTTGCTCGTATCTGATTCATAATTTGTAATTCATACTTTCTGAACCAGAACCTCAAGATGTCCGTGAGATTTGGATTTTCCTTTTTTAGCATCTGGTAAGAAACAAAAACAAACAAACCCACTTTCCCCATGTCTCTGTGTTTTTTTTCTTTTTTATATTTAATTTCTAAACTGGTGGTGTTATTGATCTTGGCTTACTGTTAAAACCCAGTTCCGCCATTAGTCGGTCAGAGCCCGAGGTCTACTCTGAACCATGAATGTATCTCAGTGTTGCTGGTGTGGGTTGTGGACCTTTCCATCACCAGCTGGGTTTTGAGGTGACGTCCTCACTCACCACCCAAGATCTGAGCTGTTTTTCATGAAAACCTTACACTGATAGTATCACGGCTTTAGTTTCACTACTGTATGGACCCTTTAAGGCTAGAACTAAGCTAAAACACTCTGGAACATTGATACAAGCACATGAACACGTATCATTCACAGTTCATAGTAGGCCCTGTACTTGTTACTCTACAAGGTTATCTAACCGTTTCGTCTGTGGAAATGGGATCCGTGTGGTTGTGATGTCTTCTGTGTTGATGTCATCGTTCAGTCCAGTTCTTTTTTGTCACCGTGGTTGCTATTTACAAGCTTCGTAAGAGCAACTGTGCCACTAGGGCAGGTGACTAAATACTCTTGCAGAACGTAAAAGTGCATCTTTCTCATGTTTCCTTATATGTAAATAGTTTCACGTGTTAATACTGCTTATAAATTCAGATTTTTTTTTTAATTAAATATGTGCAAGAGGAGACGGCAATTTCTCCTCTTCAGCTGTCCTTGCAACATAATAACAGCAAACATCAAAAAGGAAGAAGCTCTGCTAAGATCAGACGAAAATAATATTGTACTTCACCCTGAACACATTATGTGAAACACGGTGGTGGCAGCATCATGCCGTGGGGATGCTTTTCTGACCACTCACTCCTAAAATGTTGAGACTGGATGGAGGTTCAACCTCTTGCTGAATACAGTATAAAAATACAATATTGTCTTGGGCGGCACAGTGGCGTAGCTGATAGAGCTGCCGCCCGCCTCGCAGCAACAAGGTTGCCAGTTCGAATCCCAACTGGGGGGCCTTTCTGGGTGGAGTTTGCATGTTCTCTCCGTGCATGCGAGGGTTTTCTCCGGGTACTCCGGTTTCCTCCCACAGACCAAAAACATATCTAAATCTAAATTGTCCCTAACTGTCCTTGTGGTCTCTCATAAAAACGTCAAGCCGACCTGGATCTTCCACACATCTGTCTAGGAGTGAGATTGTTTTGATGATCCAAAATGATAAAATTTCTGATAGGCAGGTAACGCTGGGTCAGAGAATTACCTGAAGAATTTTGTTCAGCACGGTCTGACTGCATCGCCCTGTCCTTTTGTTTGTTTTCCTGAAAATATATTTTTGACATAAATCATTCTGAAGGCGGGTGAGTTTGTCATCATGGCCAAGACAACGGAAGTCCTCTTTACATAGAAGTCCAACAACTCATGCAACCTTTCATTTAAGAACACTTGAGTAGTTGTAAAACTGGACTTCATTTCCTCTGGAAGCAAGTTGCAAACCCCTGTGTAAAGACACACTGGACCGTTCCATCTGCAGGTCATGTTTGCGTGGAACGGTCCACATCTGTAAGGTGCGGAGTCGAGCGGCTCCCTTCAACCCCTAAACCAGTTCTTCTGATCAGAGCAGTGAATTCATGGTTGAAGAGGGAGCTGCACTTTATCTCTGTAACATTTTGACCAACGCATGTAACAGACACTTCATTAGGATTTTAGGAATGTTATGTCAACAAATGGTGTAATAAATCTCCTTTAAATGTTGCAGCGTTAGGTAAATAGGCAAAAAGCTTAATTAATGTGTGTTAAGCACAGCTGACACCCTGAAAACCATTTGTCTCTTGTTAAACTGTAAATAAAACCTTCTTGAGGAGGACATGGAATTTTTAAATTTCATTTCTTAAAATGAGGTCGTTCATCCATAAATAACTAAATAAATGCAAAGCGTGGTAACCTGAGTCGGAGTCATGTACAATAATCTCTGCACCAGTAGTGAGGGGGGGAAGAGAGGAAAGCTGTGAGTTTGCTGTGGCAGCTGAGTGGAAACAGAACAGATGTCGGCTGGTGCAGGCGTCCTGTGTGACAGAGGGGCCTCTGAGATGTACGCTGGACGTGCAGCGGGATGCTCCTCTGCTGTTCTGTGATATAGGTTAAATAAACTCCCTGGGACTCGAGCTGGCATTGATGTGACATCACTCAACTGCTGAGAAAGAGATCCCTGGCTCTAAAGCTGGAGCTTTGAGGTGGCCTTTGTTTTCTCTACTGGAGGAACTGTTCAAGGCCACATTTAGAAGAGGGATATAATAAAAATAGTGGGAGAGGCCACTAGAAACATAATGAGGTTCCTGATGTACGTTTTGCCCCATGTCATCCAGATGTTTTGTCAGAGGTGTTTTTCTTTCCGCCCACATCTCATCTCCTGTCTTTCAGCACACCTTACATATTATCACACATGCCTGTTATCAGCAGAAGGTGCCCATTGTGTGTCCAGATGAGTAATAGTCTGAAGGGGTGAAAAGAAACGTGTCACGGTCAAAGAATGCAGACTTCAGAGACCTTCTGAAGGCAATGCTTTTTCTTCTCCCAGCGTGTCATGCACACGTGTCGGGTTGATGCGCAGCCGTGCTCGCTCACCACGTACTGTATGTGTGGCCTTGTGGAGCGTGTTGTTTCAGGTTAATGATGATGGTTTGCTCTCTTGTCTTGCAGCTGAGATATCAGCATGGTTTGGCCACCCCAGACCTGCAGCAGACACTACCCAACCTGAAGAACTTCCTGGAACATGGTCTGATGGTGCGATGGTAAGAAAACCACACAATGAGAGGAATTAATAGTTGCACAAACTCATTAAAACGATCAAAACTGATTAGATGGTTTTATTTTAAATGTTTCTTTAGGAAACCACATTCCCTTGTGCTGTATAAGATATAAAGATGTAAACGTATATGTCCCGCTGAAGACAAAGGACTAACTCTCTGGCTCCTCTGTCTTCATGTCTGGAGGACATCAAAGCCTGGATGGCTGTGAACTTCTTAAAGTTAAATGAAGGAAAGACTGAGGTGATGGTCTTTGGAAGCTCCACTGACTCCCAATGTCAATGATGGTTCTTTGGCCCAGTACATCAGGCCAATTATTACAAACCTGGGGGTCAAAGTCGATGCTGGACTAAAATTAGAAAACCACGTCAGAGCAGTTGTTAAATCTAGTTTTTTCTGTCTGAGGCAGCCGACGAAGGTGAAGCTGATTCTTTCTAAGCAGCATTTTGAAACAGTAGTTCACGCCTTTGTGACCACTCGGCTGGACTACTGTAATGCACTCTTTACAGGAATCAGTGATTCATGTATCTGTCAGCTTCAGAGGGAGCAGAACGCTGCTGCACGGCTTTTAACTGGCACACGAAGGTTTGAGCACATTTCTCCTGTTTTAGCCTCCCTGCACTGACTGCACCTACATTCCAGGATTCATTTTACAATTATTTTATTTGCTTTTAAAGCTCCTAATGGACTTGCCCCGCCCTATCTGTTCGAGTTGCTGCATCCATACGCACCCTCTCGATCCCTCAGGTCACGTGATCAGCTGCTCCTGAGTGTGCCAAAGACAAAGCGTGAGCTCAGAGGAGACCGTGCTCTTGCTGTGGCAGCTCCTAAACTGTGGAACGACCTGCCCTTGAACATCAGACTCTTCCCTGTCTGTTTTTAAATCTCTTCTTAAAACCATCTCACCATCTGAGATTTTGACTTTTAATCATTTTTGCATCATTTTGCAACCAAACTATGTGCACAGTCTAAAGTCCAGTAGGTTATGATTGTCTCAAAATACATCCACATGGCTCACTGATCACAGGGGTGCAAAACCTCTACAATGGTGGTACCACCACTACTGTTGCTGTGGCGGCACCGAGACAAACAACCATGAGAGCTGACTGGGTATTGCAGAGAGCGTTAGAGTTACGAACGTGGCAGATTTGTACTCACACCTGTTAGGCTCTGTGTGCACACCTGAGCTACAGCGCACATTTAGATCAGGTCTGTGTACTGGTAAACCAGCTCAAAAATGTTTCAGTGTGACCCGATTCTGTAACTCGAGGTCATCAACTTTCTGTTCAAGCCTTCATTTACTTAATTTACCTATTCTATGATGCCCTCACAATGACTAAATTAAACAGCCTAATCTAAGGAATTAAAGTTTAAAGGAATTATGTAAAATCGTCAAAATTATGTGCATCATAAACCTTTCCAGGCAGACCATAACACCAAACACACATGAGCTCAACCCTGATCTGCACTTAAAAATATTTATGTGGAACAAATGGTAAAATATATATCCAACATTTTTCAGTCAGGTCATCTGGACAGTTTCTTTTTTTTGTGATGAAACGTTTCGCCTTCGATCCAGAAGGCTTCATCAGTCAAGGAAACACACAACACAACTGATTCTTCCCCCAACAGCTTACTCCAAAGTGGAACAAACCAGTTATGTTGGTGCTAAGATGGATTTCTTTGCCACGCCCCCTCCTCCATTGCCGGCCCTCTTCCTTGTTGACAGTCTTGTCAAATTGGTTGAAAACAACAAAGTCCATGCTCAATAATCCAGGTGTACAATCCAACATTTTTCAGTCAGGTCATCTGGACAGTTTCTTTTTTTGTGCTGAAACGTTTCGCCTTCGATCCAGAAGGCTTCATCAGTCAAGGAAACACAACAAAACTGATTCTTCCCCCAACAGCAGTAAAATATATACTTTTTGTTTTCTTTGCGTTTGTTTGTTTGTTTTTTAAATCCAAAGAAAAAAAGAAAATTTGCGATTAAATCCGTTGTTTCCTTTCTGCGCGTGCTTTTAATTGATGATCATTTGTCGTGCACTTGCAGTCATCCTCGTGCACTTTTTTTGTAGAAAGCTGCTCAGTTCTGTGTGCAGTGGCTGAACAGCCTCAGTCCTTCACTCTGCCAAAGCTGAGGTCAGTGCAGAGCGTCCCCTCTGTCCAACGATGTTCCAGGCGTTATGGAGCACGTTGTAAATGAGAATCATGTCAAAGACGGAGCTTCGGAGTCGGAGGTTAGCTTACGTCTGAACCCGCTCTGCCTTCTTTACACACCATCAATCTACTCGCAAAGAAGCAGCTGTGTGCCGTAAGAACGGGCTTCAGTGCAGAGCTGAGCAACAAAAACACAACCACTAATTCTTATCTTGTAATATTTGAAACTTGCATTAGTTTTGAACTAATTAGTTTCATCAGTTTTGTATATTTCTGTCTAAAATACTTCATTAGGTGTACTGTACAGTATGTATGCACACCACTCCTACAAATGTTAACTAACCAACTTTAAACAGCAAATGAAAAGCTCCTAATATGTAGCATCTTTATTAAATTACATATTTAAACTTTTAATCGCCACATAGCTTCATTGAGTTTACTTTTTCCCCAAAAGTACAATTTTGATTAAAGTATTTGTTCACAGTTGATCTCAAAGGGATCCATCTACCCCTGTTTTTTTTTGTATTTACCTCCACAATAATACTCCTGATGCTATTTAGATAATATTGGACGTTTGTCCAGAGCCTAGCAGAATATTCAATTCAATTCAAAAATACTTTATTGATCCCAAAAGGGAAATTACATGTTGTTGTAACTCGTCATCCTGGTTTCATTAAAGAGTTGTTATAGATGCTGATGGCTGTGGGCAGGAAGGATCTCTTTCAGCGGTATGTCTTACAGCAGGTCTGAAGAAACTGGTTGCAGATGCTGATCCGTCTACTTGGACTTGGCGGGTTTCTCGGTCTTCTTGTTGTCACAAGCCACATTTCCTGCCAGCTCCAGGATCTTAGCAGTCATTTACTCAAGTACAGCCACCAGGTAGACGGGAATTCATCCACGGCGCCTCCTTTTCAACTCATTTGAGATGTTGGAGCTATAACTGACATATTATTTGAGCTTTTGAGATATTGATCAGCTGCTCCTGGTTGAAAAAGAAAAAAACTTGTTGCCATGGTTGCACATCAAAACAAATGTCCAAAAGTAAAACGGTTTCAGTAAAAATCCTTCCAGCTGCACAGTATCACTACACCTATTGTAGTTTTACGAACAGCATCAGTTGTAGCTTTGTTTTAGAGCATGTTTTATCTTTTTCTAGTGTGTCAGTTTAACTATTGGTAATTAAATATAATGTGACTGTCTTTTAATTATTGATCAATATTTATCACCTGCAAATCGTTTAGTACAGAAATATTGTGTCGGCAGTAAGCTTTTTAAATTTCTTTCAGATAATTTGCTAATTTTTTTTTTTGTGAAACTCATACTACTATTATAAATTATGACTTAAGTGACAGAGCAGTTTTGTTTAAAATTGTGTGCAATTATTAGATCAAAGTAAAATATGCTTTTTTTAAAAGAGAAAACCTCATCAATGTCTTGCATTGTTAAAATAGGAGTGTCTGAATAAGGCTTCAGCAGTGTGTGTTGTCGGTAAAGCAGAAAGCTTTGCTCCCTGCGTTGCCTCCCTGGCACCCTTCTGGCCTGTGAGTAACCTCTAGTAAAACCTGGGAGTTGGTACGCCTCAGACTTCAGCTTCACTGCCCGGTAAGAGGCAAAGCTGGCTTTGATCTCCGCTCCTCTCCCAGGGTCAGCAAAGGGGAAAATGTGTATTACACACATTAATTGAATAATCTTGTGTTTTGAAAGGAAAGAAGCCATGAAAAGCCAAAGCTTCCAAACCATCTTTTCAATGGCCCCTCTGCCTAATGGGAAGTGGAAGGGTCTGTAGACGCATGAGATGAAAGCATGAATCCAATAACCTTAAATCTATGCTTGTGTGTATATGTGTGCACACGTGCATATATGTTTGTAAAATAGACAGAGAAGTGTAATCGTTTCTTGGCATTGTGTCCCTGCCACCTTCTTGTATGACAACTAGACCCTGGACATAGAAACCAAATTTTATTCTGTGTTAATTCAAACCATCAGCTAAATAAAAAAAATTTAAAAGACTTTTTCATTATCCTGACCAGTACTGTGCCTCAAACTAACGTTTCAGATTGATCAGAAAATTACAAGCTTGATCCATTTTACGAAGAAAATGGATAGTTAAACAATTTCAGTAAATGTGGATTCATAATTCTGCTTTTATCTAATAGCAAATATAAGATTCTCAGTCTCAGCCACCCTACAGAGGAAGCTCATTTCAGCCACTTGTCTCCAGAATCTCATTCTTTTGGTCATGATCCATGTGTCTTGGACAGAGGTGAGGGTTGGAACGTAGACAGACCAATAAATCTAGAGCTTTGCCTTTCGATTCAGCTTCTTCTTTACCACGAATGGCTGGAACAAATCCCTCATTACTGCAGACAAGGCTTCAGCATGTTGATCCATCTCTCGCTTCAAGAATTCATGTATCTTCTCTAAGCTGGGAACACCTTTGGATCCTCCAGGAGGAGAAAGGGTATATCTGGATTTCCTTCCTGAACCTGTTACTTCCACAGTCCGACCATAGATAACCAGCAGAAAATGGATGAATGAATGGATGCTTCCCATACATTTTATTTAGAATTAGAATTTGAATAAAAATCTAATTTGAGAAACTATTTCATTACATTATTTCACTTGCTTGGTTGGCCATAAATGTTTTGGTAGTTACACAAAGGTGCAGATTGGTGACAACAAACTAGATTTCAAAATTTATAATAACCAAGAGAACAAAACCATCAAAATGTCACAAAACAAATATTAAGCTGGTGCATTACGTCATAAGAAGCATGTTAATTGACATGCTTAAATCATACAGACTGTGTAAAGCAGTTGTGGGCTGT